AGTGGAGCGTCATGCAGGCAGAAGGGACACTGTTTGTGCAGGGCCGCCATGGTGAGGGTACAGCCAAGACAAGGCGACACACAAGGAGGGTCACCCGAGCCAAGGGACTGGAGCGGAGTGGTGGGCAGATCCCCCGTGTGTGCCCAGAGTGCACGAGGGCCAGGGCCCACTGTCAATGTGTCGGGATGTGCAAGATGGCCAGAAGGTGCCGTGGAGGACGAAAAAGAAGAGGACGAGGTCAGGGTGGAGGAGCCCCCTGCTCTTTTGCAGCAGCTGCTGAAGATCCTGGGGAAGATGGAACACAGGCGCCCCTCCTTGAGTGATGCTGACACCATCTGGTGGAGCCCCTGCTGGACAGGTAAGTGCTTGGAGGACTGGTGCTTCCCCACTCCTGTCTCACTGTCCCCCGCCGACAAACTGCCCCCCACCTGTTCTACTTCCCTCCCCGTCCCATTGCCCCCCATCCATCACACTGCCCCCACCTGTCACCCTGTCCCACACCTTTCACTTCCCCCTCCTATCCCCAACATTGTCCCACTACCCCTCCATCTCTCCCCACTGCCCCCCACCTGTCCCTCTGCGCTCTTCCTGTCCCGCTGCCTTGATCCTGTCTTATGCCCCCTGCCCCACTGCCCCCCACCTGTCCCTCTGTGCTCCTTCTGTCCCACTGCCCCTTACCTGTCCCTCTGCACTTCTCCTGCTGTACTGCCCCTCACTTGTCCCTCTGCGCTCCTCCTGTCCTGCTGCCTCGATCTTGTCCCATATCCCCCATCACGCTATCCCCCACCTGTCCCTCTGTGCTCCTCCTGTCCCACTGCCCCCCACCTGTCCCTCTGTGCTCCTCCTGTCACATTGCACCCACCTGTCACCCTGCCCCACACCTGTTCCACTTCCCCCTCCTGTCCCCAACATTGTCCCACTACCCCCCCATCTCTCCCCACTGCCCCCCACCTGTCCCTCTGTGCTCCTCCTGTTCCACTGCCCCTCACCTGTCCCTCTGCACTCCTCTTGTCCCGCTGCCGCAGTCCTGTCCCATGCCCCCCATCATGCTGCCCCCCACCTGTCCCTCTGCACTCTTCCTGTCCCACTGCCCCTCACCTGTCCCTCTGCACTCCTCCTGTCCCGCTGCCCCTATTCTGTCCCATGCCCCCCGTCATGCTGTCCCCCACCTATCCCTCTGTGCTCCTCTTGTCCCACTGCACCTCACCTGTCCCTCTGCACTCCTCCTGTCCCACTGCCCCTCACCTGTCCCTCAGTGTCCTCCTGTCCCACTGCCCCTCACCTGTCCCTCTGCACTCCTCCTGTCCCGCTGCCCCTATTCTGTCCCATGCCCCCCGTCATGCTGCCTCCCACCTATCCCTCTGTGCTCCTCCTGTCCCACTGCCCCTCACCTGTCCCTCTGCACTCCTCCTGTCCCACTGCCCCTCACCTGTCCCTCAGTGCTCCTCCTGTCTCGCTGCCCCTATCCTGTCTCATGACCCCCGTCATGCTGCCTTACACCTGACCCTCTGCACTCCTCTGTCCCACTGCCCCTCACCTATCCCTCTGCGCTCCTCCTGTCCCACTGCCCTTATGCTGTCTCATGCCCCCATCACGATGCCTCCCATCTGTCCCTCTGTACTCCTCCTGTCCCCTCTCCACCTGTCCCTCTCCACCTGTCCCGCTGCCCCTGTGCCCCTCCGTCATGTACCCCCCACCCTCCTCTGTGCTCCTCCTGTCCTGCTACCCCGATCCTGTCCCATGCCCCCTGTCACGCTACCCCCCACCTGTCCCTCTGCACTCATCCTGTCCCTCTGCTCCTCACCTGTCCCTCTGTGCTCCTCCTGTCCCACTACCCCTCACCTGTCCCTCTGTGCTCCTCCTGTCCTGCTGCCCTGATCCTGTGCCATGCCCCCCGTCACACACTGCCCCCCACCTGTCCCTTTACACTCCTCCTGTCCCTCTGCACTCCTCCTGTCCTCCTGTCCCACTGCCCTCACCTGTCCCTCTGCACTCCTCCTGTCCCTCTGCGCTCCTCCTCCTGTCCCACTGCGCTTCTCCTGTCCCGCTGCTCCGATCCTGTCCCATGCCCCCGTCATGCTGGCCCCCTCCTATCCTACTTCCCCCTTCCTGTCCTGCGGCCCCCCATCACGCTGCCTCCCTCCTGTCCCACGACACCCCCCCCCCCCCCCCCATGTCGCACTGCCCTCCATCATGCTCCTGTCCTGAAGAGGTGGATCTTAAACAGCAAAGGGAGGGACACATTTAGATGGGAGTGCCCGATTTTAATCTTGCCTAGGGCAGCACAAAACCAAAATGCACCACTGCACCCTGCTACTAGTGTTGATGCAGGATGTTAAAACAAACAAAAGATGGCAGTGTCCTGCAGAACACTGGCATTCACTCTCTAAAGAGCAGCCCCATGGAACTTGAATGCGGAACTGCAGAACTTTAGAAAAGAGCAGTCTCGTAAAAAGAACTACATTTTCCAGCTGAGCTGGTGTGTGGGTGGAGGCATATATATGTGTAAGCCCAAGAGAGAAGACGGAAGTGAGAGGGGAGAGATCTGGAGAGAGCATTACACTGACTGTGGGAAGACCAGACCAGGCCGTGGAGAGAGAGAAAGGAGGCAAGAAGAGTGTCAGGGCCTGGACTTGAACCTGGGCCTTCTGCGGTGGGAGGCAATGTTTCTTCTCACTGAGCCACCTGGAATGCTGCACAGCTCCCTTGACAATTCTTTGGATGATCCTGCCTTGGCCCTGCTTGTCTTGAACCTTGAACTCCTTGCTCCTCCCATGAACTTCCTATAAAGGCCATGTCCTTGCACTTCCTCCTTGCCAGCTTATTGTGCCTTCCAGCCAATATCCCGCTTCTCTGTCCTGCTTCCGTCTACATCTTCGCTACCGACCTTTGGCTTTGTTACTGACTACGATTTCATCTCATCCTCATCTGCTACCACTTGTGACCGACCCTTGGCTTGTGACTGACTCCGCTACTGTCTGATCCCTAAACTGTTTGATCCGCTATCGGTTTCCAGCTGGTTCATTCCCTGGTGGGGTGAGCCTGAGATCTGCGACCTGGTATTAACACGCAGCCAATTCCATCTCCACCATTAGGAGCTCTGGTGAAAACCGGTTAATACTTAGACCCCGCACCTCAGGTGAGCCTGCGTCATTCCCAGGGTGATCCACTGGTGTACCAACCCTGCTGGTTTCAGGTAAGCCTTACAACTGCTGTAGCAATTGGTCACTGAACCTGACCTTACACCGTGACAAAGAGTCTGCTGATCCCTGACCTTGTCACATCGTGGAGAAAGCTCCTCTGCTAGCAGGTGACCGGTCCAAATTTTGCAGGTGGGACCAGAGAGTGTGTGGAGGCCTTAACGGAGGAGAGAGAAAGAATTCACCAGACGCTATCCCTCAGGTGAAAGAGTCCCAAGCACTACCAAGGACAGGGAACACTGAAAACTGCTCCACCTTTGCTTTTCTCTTGCACACAGTCACGGACATTGCATATAGGTATAAGAAATTGCGGTCTATTTCCCTCAACCACTATCGTTTGACCACACACTTATTATTGGTGACATCCACATCCTCAGTGGATGGAGTGGCAAGCCTTTAATCTTACTGGTTGGTGATTTGAAGGAATTTTACACGGGTGTTCCTTGTGTATGGACTATAAAATTATTAATTTTTTTGGACACTATGAAATTCAAGATGTAATGTATTTATTTATTCATAGAGGCAATTATTCACTTTGTTTATAGACTTTCTTGTAAGATATTGACTATTTCTTCAAGTGGGAATAAAGCCTTTTTTTCATTGATGAATTTTTACACAGAGTGTTTTCTCACACTGTAAAGAGCTGCTTCCCTTCATTTTATTTTTTATTTTATATTTTTGTGACAGCGCCCCTTGGTTTATTTATTACAAAGCTTATCAGAGCTGATAGCAGGACAGAGTCCACAGGCTGAACACCCGCTGTGTCACCATCATTATCAATTCACTCTATTAACCACTTCCCGTCAGCCTGTTGTTTATAAACGGCAGGGCAGTGGCACTCCAGGGGCGGGTTGCCGTTCATAAATGGCACCCGCCTTTTCTAGCTGTGCGCGCTCCCTGGGAGCACGCGCAGTACCGCGATCCAGTGCCCGCTGTGTCCTCCGGACACAGTGAAACACCGATCGTCGGACGGGACCTCTGTAAGAGGTCCCGATCATGTGATCACTGATTGGCAAATCAGTGATCACATGCAAAGTAGTAAGCAAGATGTCTACGTGTGAATGATCACAGAGGTCACATGGTACAAGGCTATTCACAACAGCCTTGTACCATGTGACACGCTGTGACCAATCACAGCTTACTCAGTACTTCTCAATGACTGCAAGAATGCAGACAGAGAGAAAGATAAATTATTGCTTTTACATCCTATATGGGTGTAAAAGCAATCAGTGTAAAAAAAAAAAAAAACATCTTCATCACCCCCCACAAGTAGTACAGTGTCACCATGGTGACACTGTACTGCTAGAGTGACAGTATGTAAAAAAAAAAAAAATAAAAAAAAATAATAATATAAAAAAATAAAATAAAAATGTAAAAAAAATGTTTAAAAATTATAACTAATTTGGATTTTTTTTTTTACTAAAAAAATAACGGAATAAATTTTGGCCAAGATTTATGATGAAATATTATTTATTTGCAAAATTTTATTTAAAAAAAACACTTTTTTTCAAAATTTTTAGACTTTTTCATTTACATAGTAAAACAAATTTAAATCCCAGAGGTGATTAAATACCACCAAAAGAAAGCTCTATCTGTCTCAAAAAAATTATAAAAATGTCATATGGGTACAGTGTTGCACGACCGCGCAATTGTCATTCAAAGTGTGACAGCGATGAAAGCTGGAAATTGGCCTGGGCAGGAAGGGGGTATAAGTGCCCTGTAGGTAAGTGGTTCTTAAACAAACCAAAGACCACAGAAAATTTTCAAAACAAAAATGTTTTTTCTTAGTTTTTGTTATACAATTTTGTAAATAACAGATTTTTCTCCTTCACTGTTGTGTGCTAATAAGGCTGCAGTGATGGGCACTGATAGGTAGCAGTGATGGGCACTGATGAGGAGGCATTGGTATGTTGCACTGATGGGCATTGACAGGCATCACTGATGGGCACTGAAAGGCAGCACTGATACATGGCACTGATACATGGCACTGTTAGGCGGCACTGACTGGCACTGTTAGGCGGCACTGACTGGCACTGTTAAGCGGCAATGACTGACACTGATAGCCAGCACTGACTGGCACTGATAGGTGGCACTGATTGGCAACACTGATAGGTGGCACTGATTGGCATTGATAGGTGGCACTGACTGGCACTGATGGGTGACATTGAAAGGCAGCTCAGATGGGCACTGATATGTGGCATTGATGTGCACTGGTATGCACTGATATGTGGCATTGATGTGGCACTGATGGGCACTGGCACGTGGCACTGATGAGCACTGACTGCTGGCACTGATGGACACTGACATGTAGCACTTCTGGGGCCACACTGATCATCAGGGCACACTGATCATCAGTGCCCTGATGATCAATGTACATGTCCCCTCCACGGAAAGCTGATTACCGGCTCTCCTCTCCTCACGAGCTATCAGCGTGACAGCTCGAGAGGAGAGAAATGCAGATAACCGACATTTCCATGTTTACATGTGATCAACTGTGATTGGGCACAGCTGATCACATGACCGAGCCGACATCTTCAGCTCTTTCCGTGATCCGCTGTGTCCGAGGGACACAGCGCACCGGCGATCGCCGCACTGCACACTCCCTGAGCCGTGCATGCGTAGTGAGAATGGAAGGACGTCATATGACGTCCTATCAGAACGAGAGAACCACCTTGCGCCCGTCATTGTACATATGGCGGGCGGGAGGTGGTTAAAGAACATTGGTTGTTTTGGGATAAAGAGCTATTTTCCGTTTATTTCTCCTTGCCATCAGGTCCCCAAGGGCCCAAAGTAAGCTAGTCTGTATGTTATTTCTGGCTGCTCACCTGGGACTGTAAAGCCACCTCAGGTTGAAGGTATTGGGTTAGCTTCTGAAAAGCAAGCCTGCTAACACTAGCTGAGATTCTGTGATAAATGTTGTTTCCTTTCATTGCTTCAAGTTGACATAGGTAGTAACTGACTCTGCATGTACCAGTTCTGTTTATGCTGTGTAACCAAGGTACATTGAATTGCTATAAACCTCTTACCAGTTTACTCTGATCAGTGTGTGAGTTTACTTTCTGGTGGTGATTTATTCTGGTTAAGAATGTACTGTGGTGTCAGCAAGGGTTGGGCTTTCAGAGAGGGGTCCAGAGTAACAGGGAGCCCAAAAATCATCCAACAATTGCTGAGGGGGTAGTGCTACATTTCTTTTACAGGGTAGTTAGATCAGGAGTTAGAATTTATGCAGGAGAAAACAACCCCCCTAGATGGAACTTTAAAGGCATCACCAAAATATGTAAAAGTTACATCAATCTTTATTGAACATAGATAAATAATAGCCATAAAACATTGAATAGGCGGTGATATGGTAAATAAATACAGTGTTACCATACAGAATTATGTCGACATAACGGAGTTCATAAATATTATCCAACACGATTCAGAGTAAGTTTGCTCCTTCTTCAGGGTCGAAGCTCTGTACATAAGACATATGGCCTCTAAAGACTGAAACACATGTATTACAGTCATACAATAATTATATTGACACTTGTAAACAATTTTGTTTATATACATGTCAAAAACACAATACTCACAGCTTGCTGTGATGGAGACCAAGTAAAGAGAATCAATAATTGAATTTCTGCCATATTAAAAACATTAGATGTGTGACCAAGTCCATGAATCCTCCCCAGACAGCATCCACACAAACACCAACCGGGCCAGAGCCCCCCAGGAGAGCACTGTGGCCACACCGATAACCACAGGGGCAAGCTATATATAAAAAGTGACAGTATTTACTATTAAATAGCCAAAAGAAAACGTCTTTGTCATATATGAAAAAGGATATAATGACTATTAAATCTAGTAAAACACCCACCGCTGTTAAGGCAGATGCAGATTATATTAGAGCCACTATTGTTAAAAAATTGGTAAAAGGGTAAAACTCCATAGACCATAAGATCGTCCAGTATTGTAAGCCACAGCTCATCCAGAAAACCCTGAAAAAAGTATCAAAACAAAGACACAAGAACAGGAGTTAGAAGGGTGGTGAGGACTGTTTTCGGCTTAGTTAGTTAGAGCCTGGCATGATATTTAAACTTTGTCCTTAATTAAAGCATAACTAAAAAAAACATTCCTTTTCTGTCTGTGCTGGTTGTAGCTTCACCCCAGACAGAAGCCCAATTAATGAGTGTTCCCATGAGGGAGTTACAACCAGCCCTAAACCCCCCCCCCCCCCCACCTCCACCCCCCATCCCAAATTTATTCTGCAGCTTTCTATGCAATCTTGCAGCCTTATGCCTGTACATGCATGTGTTCCACCTTATTTGTGCTGAAAATATTTCATTGTCCTGAAAGAAATTACTGAGCCCAGCCATCAGCTTCTCAGAGCACAGAGACAAAAGTAGTAGCTGTCAGCTTGTGTGTTCTTGTGAATGACAGCGCACTGAAGAGGAGTACTCTCATTCACAAAAACACAAACCAACAGCAAGCCAACTACTACTGGGGAAAACACTGACTATTGTTGGGGTCTGAAGGTCATATAATAAGTATCATGGGACCCCATGCAGCTCTGATGCTTCCCAGGACGCAAAAAATTAAACAAGGAGAGAGCAATTCCTTAGAGTGAAAACAGTCTTCATATAGAATAATAGATCCTCCACAGGAAAAGGAAGTATTTTAAAAAGAGAAGAATGGTCACATCGTTTTTGCTCATATTTCCCTTATGGGTCACAGAAGTGCACTTATTTATGCTCTCCTGTGACCTAAAATAAGCTGTAGCCTGCTATCAGCTTATGTCACAGAGTCTCTGCAGGCTCTGGAAAGATCCTGACCATATGGTTGCGATCCACCCAGATGCCTGATCAGAAGCTGTCTCACCCTTTCAGTCAGTGTGCTGCTGAGAATGAACTCTGTGCCAGCCACTATCCAGCCCCCTCCTCATTCCTGCACTCCAGTAAATGCTGGAGCAACAGAGCAGAGAGCAGTGACTGAGAGTGGACTGAGAACTGAGCAATTAGCCATCATGTGATTGCTCACGTCTCAGTCTCAGGGGACAGGGAGGTGAGTATATATGTTTGTTTTTTTGTATTTCCACATCTCTCCTTTAATAAACAAAAATCATGACAAGCATGGTAGTTACATCTCAATGTCAGATCTGTTTTTGAGCTCTCCAGGTCTAGTAAAACCCAGCCAGCATGCATGTACTGCTGAGCAAACTGATCTACCACCTAATAAAGCCTGTATAGTTCCAGCACATTGGAATAACACACTACAGAGAAAGAATCAGTTGTACTGGACATGAAGCCTCTTTCAGGAAATTAATAACTGACACCAATGATCTATCTAGATTCCACTATCCACCAGTGTAAGAGGGGTATTTTACCACTAACAAACTCCCTCAGAAGGGTACTTCATCACTGACCACCGATGAGATAAGGCACTACAAGGCTAGCAATTATTATTATTATACAGTATTTATATAGCGCCAAAAGGTTTGCTCAGCGCTGTACATTATAGGGGAAAAGTACATGAGACAATACAGTAACAAAGCAATACACGAGGGGTTCGAGGGCCCTGCTCTTTCGAGCTTACAATCTAGGAGGGAGGGGATAGTGGTACAGGAGGAAGTGGCTGTGGGGGATCAGTGGTAGGAAGAGTGGAGGAGATCGGCTGTTAGGTGAGAGTGGGGTTGGCTTCCCTGAAGAGATGGGTTTTCAGGGTGTGCCTAAAGGTGAGGAGGGTAGGTGACAGTCTGATGGATTGGGGTAGTGAGTTCCAGAGGATGGGGGAAGTCCTGGAGAAGTCCTGCAGTCGGGCATGGGAGGAGGAGACCAGGGATCTAGCAAGTAGGAGGTCTTGTGAGGAACGAAGAGTATGGGTTGGGTGGTATTTGGGTATCAGGTGAGGTAGTTTGGGGCAGCGTTATGAATGGCTTTGTATGTCAATGTTAGTAGTTTGAATCTAATGCGTTGGGCAATCGGAAGCCAGTGGAGGGAATGACAGAGGGGGGTGGCAGAAGCGGAGAGGTTGGTAAGGTGAATGAGTCTGGCTGCTGAGTTCAGGATAGACTAAAGCGGGGATAGCCTGTGTTGGGGTAGGCCGGTTGCAATGATAGAAGCACTTCACTGACCACCAATGTAAGAGAGCACTACAATAACCACCAAAATAAAGGTGCACTTATCCACTGGCTACTAAGGGGGCCATTTCTCCATGGACCAATAAGGTAAGGGGGGACTTCTTCACTTAAACAATAATCAAAAAAAAAAAGACCAATATGAGTGCTAGTTCACCCCACGTGTACACAAAATATAATATGTCAATAAAATCAAAGTAGAGTCCTCAAAGAAAGTCCATGAGATGTGACTGTAATTTATATAAAGCCCATATCCGTGGGAAGATACTAAGCCACAAAAGTGAAGAAAAAGGATCCTCCACCATCACCACTCACAGCCTCTTACCAGAAAATATGACCACAGGTCATGTGGTCAAAAACAGCAAGTATGGGGAATCAATGGAGGTATTGGATCCATAATAAATCTTCTCCACCAGAAATACTTCCACCACTAGTGACTCTATGGCAAAGATCCAGTATTATAGCACAGAGATAATCAAACAGACCCAGTTGTATGTAAACAGAGGAAGAAATCAGCATGTAAAATTAATGATGTTTCCAACCGACAAAATGGCTGTGATGCGTGATGTGATGATGTCATAAGCCGTAGCTCCATCTTACGTGTTTCATCTTAAGAATACGTCATCAGGGGAATGGCCAACGATCTCCATCATGCTATAAATATTTCCAAAGCGGAAATATGCCTGTGTCACTTGCGCTCCAAAGACCAGAACCATATGCTAGTTTTTATGGGGCATACACTGGGGTTTTACATCTGATATATACTACTTTTCCTTAGAAAAATATCATATTCTTATGACCCTCTTAAACCATTTTGAGGAGTGCATGTTTATTACTGTAAGATTAGATAGCATATAGACATTGTAAACACCTCTTTTTCTTGTATTTTTTTTAGATACTAATACTCTAATCTTCTTGGGACTCAGTCCCTGCCTCTTCTGGGGACAATGCCCGCCATATAATTGAGTCCTATATAAAAGCACTTTTTTATTTATACTGGGTATTTATACAGTATATATATTGTGGTTGAGTGGTTCATGGGCACATGGTGGTATTATGTATATAATTTGTTTCTTATTTTCTTTTAGGGCATCCCCCTATGGGGCCCAGTTATTACAATTTGGGTGGTTCCCCAGGAGGCATCCCTTTATATTTATTTAATTTTGTTATTATACGATTATTCCATAGAATCTATTTTTTATCCTTGGGGCCCTGATGTCTTCAGGGGTGATTTCTCCTGAAAGCTCATATAGGTGACACATATATTTATTTCATCTGTATCTCAAGAATTCTTTCATCTGACACTTTATCTCAATTATTTCAGGGGTAAGAGTACTGTACAATATATAGCTATATTGTATGTCTGACAATATATATGTTTTATATACATTTCCTACAACTGGCTCTCTTCATGTCAT